CACAGTGCCATACCTACACCTAAAAAAACTGTTAGACCTACCAGTGAAAGATCCAGAAAGATGAAGAATGAATTTTGCGGATTCATCGCATTGACCAGGTGAGGTTAAGTGGATGAATGCATTTGCTTCTTTTGTACGTGTTTCGCAAACACAACACATCTGTTAACCAAGACTGAAGAGTTCCGGCTGTTGAAACTTGTTATCCAACTTGAGAGACGATGTGGACATTGGAAGCTCTAATATTTAATTTGAAATGCGATTCCAGGAGACCAGTGGTGCAGTCCCGTTAACTTGAAGCCTTATCAAAGACTGGAGAGCCAGTAGAAATGAATTACAAAGTAGGAATGTTGACTAAGAGACGTGAATGGAGATTAGAAGGTAAGGATATGGACGGGGGATAATGATGTGAGGGAACTTTATGCTGACAGAGTTGTTAAGGCGGTTGAAACTTCCAGGACAAAAAAGAACAGTTAGTTTGTAATTGTGGAGCCCATTCACATGCCACCTTCTCAAAAGTTTAAGACTCAAGTTTGTTATTTGTGGCTCCGACTATGAAACCATATCACCGTCACTGGTATGCAGCGGGGGTGGGGGGAGGGATCATTCTTCTTTTAGCATCAGCCTTTTTTGCGCACGTTCCAACTGGGAACTGATTTTTGTCTTGCCACTATCCAAATGACATTTCCGATGTGGTAGGAAACTAAAAAAAACTAGAGATTCAACAGCATAGGTTGCTGGGTCAGTCTGTTATGCCAACCTGACCGTCAAGTTAAGGTAGCAGCTACCGGTTGAGAATAGTTTAGCTTGGATTTGCTAGTAACTAAATCTGACAGTAAACAATACCGGGATACCTGGTGAATGAAAAAAGAGAGGAATACTTTGAAACTAATAGAGGTAATGCAATTTATCGGGTCATTCTTTGTCAGGACACAGATAAGAGCTGAACAAACGTTTTCTTAGTGGGAAGGCCGTATGTAAGAGATGGTAAAGAATTCAGTCAGAGTGGTTTGAGGAGAAGCGATAAATAAATTCGACTGTTCTACTTTGTTCATTGTAAGCAAGGGCAAACGTTCTGTAACACATTGGATGAAGTGTCTAATAGTATGCCTAATACAGCTGTTTCAACAGAGTTAGGTGTACTAATAAGTACGTATGACAAGATACGTAAGTGTGAAATTTTAACATTCAAAACTTTAATCTTAGCTCAGTGAATAAAACAAAATTCTGTTGATATCACAGTTGGTTGGTGTTGAGATGGTGACCAATGTATTTGAGATCTGAGACCAGAAGAAAGAACGTCTTTTAAAGTTTATGAATAGATGTTAAATTGGAATTATTGATTCTGATTAAATAAGACAAATAAAGAACATCAGTTGATTTTCAAACCATGAAGTCACCTCAAAGGTTTTATTATTCCTATATTTTTTCTTGTTCTAATAATGACTATAATTTCTGACTTAGTGATAGGTTAGATTTAGTGCACGACTGAAAGCAGTGGCCACTGAAGGTTGGGTTTTTACAAGACAACTCCAATTCATCGTTACAGCATACTTTATTTGAGAAAACGAGAAGTTCGGAGAAGATATTTTTCAGCGACCTCATTCTCTATAGATATATAGTCGCAAATTGTACATTTTTGTCTAACTGATTTGGATAGTCACAAGGAAATATTTAATTAAACTCAGTGTGTCTATCAGTCTATCTGCTACTGTGGAGCCAGGCATACAGGTTGTTCGACTCGCATTCAATCCAAACAAGTAAGAAATTATCTCACCTAGCCAAAAAGAGGCAAGAGAGGATCCATCAGAAGTGCAATAATTAAACGCCTTCTCAACAATAGTTGCAGCATCACAGCTGATTCAGCGTTCGAAGTCATCTTCAGAGTGGAAAGAAATTTGCCAAAAATGGTGCACTTCCACCTTCTGTGTACTACAGACGCTCTTGTCACGGAACTATGTGTGCAAAAGAAACTTGTTCAGTCTTTTTTGCTACCTTGATCTTAGTCAACTACTATCTATCTCTCTCAATCTTATTTTTTGATTTTATGATATACTTTAATAACTCAGTATTGTCTTCATTTCCCCTTCATGCTACCCTTGATTATGTTATATCTTTAAAATTGTTTGTTACATATTGTGCGACTTTAAAATTCTTCCCAGTTAGTTGTGTTGATTGCTATGCCCTTTTGTGACTAACTTTTCTCTTCGCATCACAATTATGTATTTTTAATCTCCATTCAGTTCTATCTTTGTTACTAGGTTTAAATAAGTATTTCCTTGTAACTATCTGAAATAGTTAATCGAAAGTATGAGTTGCTATTTTACATCAGTGGAGAACGAAATTACCTTAGAAGATATCTCCTAGCTTTCTCTAATATCGTGATACGTATTTTCAGTCGTTTGAAAAAACAGCACACTTCCAGCAGCATTTATAGGACACAGAATACGTGCTAATGTAAAGTAAGAGAGAGAAGTTGGCTAGGTAAATGTGGTTCGTGAGATGACAGTTTGCTTCAAAATAAGTGTAAGTCATACAAAGATCTTTGTTACTTTGATATCTGTATTTTCCAGTGAATAAGAGTTTTTTATGACAATATCGCAAATCTAGATTTACTCAGCCACCTGGTGCACGTTCAAGAAGTAGGCAGTAAGCCACAGTAATTTTGTGGGGGCTGAATAAACATAACACGCTGCCCGAACCTCAGTAGGGAGGGGAAGTTATGTTCGAAACCGTTAACCCTCGGTTGCATACTGAGTACATAAACAGATAACAAGAGCTGTCTACAAAGATCTACTAATTACTGAGATAAGTTTTTAAAGTGCTGATGGGTTATCTGAGTTCTAATGGTGGTGGATCTATTTACTATAGTGACAGCCGCTAAATCACTATGATTACTTTTGCATTCATTTATGGAATCGTCGTAAATGTCTGAGTGCAATACAACAAAAGCAGCTGTTCTTTCTGCTTGAATCTAAGTTAACAAGCTTTAAATATAATACTCATTTCCGATACCAGTTCACAATTCTATCTTGAAAATAGCGCAGTCATTGTATTTTGTTTATAAACAAGCTATTACTTAATTTTTAGGATGACTAGCAGCTTCAATATAAATTTTTAGATAATCTCAGTTTGTTATAATGCTTTAGACGTGCTTAGAGTATATCCAGACTAATATACACAATAATTAAATCAGACTCCATGCTCCAAGTTCTCCAGGACATTCATAACAACTATGGGCAAAAGTTTACAATATAATTCTAACTTTTGCTCGAGTTTTACTCAGATCTGAATTTTATCACTTTAAATTGTCCAGAAATAGTATTGACTTAGACGTCAGCTATGTTATACCAAATTATTTTCAAAATGTATACTTGTTTAATCTCAGTCTACTAGCTTAGTACCATTTAACTTTAGCTTAGTAATCACAATAGCTTTAAGGTTGTGGGAAATATTTGATAAGAATTTTATAGGGGATAAGATGGCAGTAACTTTTGTCTCATATTTGCAGCGATCAAATGTGGCTTCTACTCAACAATTCATTTATTCAAACATTAAAGAGGCTTTTTATAGATTGATGTTATATGCCTACAACTAAACTTTTGTATCTACTGTTTAAGTGAAACTCTGAAAGTGAATTGCATTGTAAGTAGTTTAAGGTTTTATTGTCTTTCCCGAGTTCACAGCATATCTTAGGCAAAGTCTACTGGGAACTGAATGAGATTGTCATAAACTTTCTTACTGGTTTTTAGTCAGCGACCAGTACTAACATAAGAGCATACTTAGGAAGTATTCTGACGTAGTATGTTTTTGGGACTTTTTAAAATACATGGCTCAACACCGAAAAAATGTTGCACTACTCAGTGGTTCTGCTTCACTAAGTAGCTATGGAACTTAACTATTTAAACTAAAGGATTATAGACAACTTGGTATAGTTGCCTCCAATAGCCGCAGCACCACCCATATGTGGTGGAAGCACGAAATAAGCCAAATGCTAATCAAACACATAGTCTTAAGTTAACAAGGTAAGTCAGCCGATGAAGCAGTATACTTTCATTGACCAATGCGGCTGGGACATGTGTTATGTATTACGAGTTACTGTCATCCCTAAAGCACTATATCACATTAAGTTGGAAGGAAGGAAGGATGGTTAGACCAAAGCATAACACTAATTCATGAAGCTGCTAATTGTTGATAAGTGCCGTGCTGAGGCTTTTGTCGGTGTGTCCGTGCGGATAAAGAAGTACTGGATCTATGGCTAAGTTCTGTGAGATAACTGAAACCAGTGGTTGTAAGCTACGTGTGACATGGTTTATAATCGATAGCAGTAGTGAAAGTGCATCCACTCCACTCCTCCATCTAAATGATAATGTCAAGTAGCTTCGTTCTTTTTTCGGAATTTTTCTTTATCGCGTCCTTTTAGGATTGTACATGAACTTGTTTTCATTTAATTTTTCTTGTTGAAATTAACATAGATGTGCTGATCAGAAATGTGGCAACTTGGATTGTTATTCAGTATACCACTTTTAAATATCAAAAAAATGAAACTATTTGTAAGTAATTATCGAAAATATGAACTTATCATTGGTGTTCATGGAATATTGGACTGGAAGTCTTGGTGATGAGACAGTTGCTATCTGTTGAGTGTACACACACACTTCCCACAGAAAATTAGTCACGGTAAGCAAATTTTAAAGTTAATGTCATTTTGTGGCGAATACTTGTTGCTGTGATGCGCTGATGATGATGTTTAGCACAATATCGAGATGTCTGCTAACTAAAAACCTAGCTCAGAGAACAACGTACTCTGATGTCTATTTCTTTGTCCTCTTCAGTTGCCAATCAAAGCATAGAACTCTTATCTACAAGTATCATTTGATGAGTAACCGATAAAGAGGACTTGCTTTCACCCCTGAACTATACGATTAAAATGGCTTGTTTGTTCAGTAAAGCTCAAAGGTGAGTAAATAACTGAATAAAGTAAGAAACTAACAAAATCTTACCAGACTCTTTGTTAACACTAGGATATTTTGACCAAGAATATGACCTTACTTTAGTTTTGTTTTCACAGACAACAGATTTAGCTAGAACAAGTTGTTCTGTAATGTACTTTAATTTTGTGCCATCACTGTACTTTGTAGGACTTAGTGTAATCAAATTACTACTATAAAATCTTGGACGTTCAACAGGTGAAGGAATTGCAAAGGGGGATGTGGCTTTATCATTTGTAATGGATAATTCATCTGAATACTGGTGACTATAATCCTGACTGACTGGTGAGTTTTTCAAAAATCCAAAGCATTTTCTTGTACTTTCATTCTCCGTACAATATTCACTTTGTTCATACCTACTTCGAACTGTTGATAGTTGTCTCAAAGTAAGTGGAGGAGATATACTTGAATTCGGTCGACTCAGATGTATTCGATGACGAAATGGTGTAGGGGAATAATCTCTATGTGAACAATTTATCTGTGATGAGTTGGTCAACTTTATAAAAATTGGTTCAATTTCTGGTGTATTGGATATATTTTTATCAATGAATAGACCACTGTTCTTAGTGTTTAGATTATCCTTGAATTCGTTTATATTATATGAAGAATTTGTAAAGATTTTATTTAGACTATTTAACTGATATCGACTGTCTATATTCGAACAGTTGAATTTATCGCCACATGATTGAATTTGATAGCAACAATTGAAATGAGATGCGGGACGTGGTGAAGAATGTGGCTGTTTACGTTTCTTTTCTTTGGCTTCGACTTCAGTTTCACCGATCATAGTTACACACATTGTTTGAGCTAAGAGTTCAGCTTCATTCTTTTCCAAGATATTGTCTGGAAGAGAGAAAAAATGATAATGAATATCAAGCTTGAAAGTTTTATTTTGGTGCAGTTTGTTTCAGCAAAGAAGCATATTTCTTCTCAGCAACTTTATATTTAATAAAATATCATCTGACTGCACTGAAATCGCTTATTCAGTAAACATACACGAGACAGGTGGAGGGTGTCAAGAATGAACAAAGTACAAGAGGGAGATAACTGATCTACAGACATAAACCGAAGATCGAGTGTTGTGAATTAAACTTGTAAAATATTAAAAGTATGTTATGTGATTCTCGTCAGCTGTGTCATAGTCAATTTTTTTGAAATTTGCTTTGTAATTTATTTAGAAATAGTATTCATCATGGATTGACATCAATTAGGGAACCAATGAAAATCTGGGAGCACTGGACAACTGTTTCGTCCTGCTATGGGACTTCTCAGCAGTACTCATCCACGACCAGCCTAGGGATCGAACTTAGGACCTTTAGGTTTCACGGCAAACACGTCAACCATCCAGCCACTGGGTCGGTTCTCAATGGTTCATAATTTCCAACTTTGCGTACTGCTGAAGAGTTCCATACTAGGACGAAACAGCTGTCCAGTGCTCCCAGATTTTCAATGGTTCCCTAACTGATGTCAGTCCATGATGAATACTACTTCTTAATTTGAAATCCCCATTCATCTCAAAAATGTATAATTTATTTAACTGATATTCTTTCCTTATGAACTTTATGGTAATGATATATATTAGGATTTTATGTTCCATGTTCTAAGGTATACTAGATTGAAGCATATGGGAAAACTTATATCTGAATTTCGTGGCCACCCAAAAGTTTACTGAGAATTTCAAAATAGCTAGAGACTTCGGAATTGCTGAGAGAAGAAATACGTTAACAGGGCAGATAACGTGTATACGAATCTTTTGGTTCAATAACAGACCATGAAAATGATACTGTAAACCACAATGGACGAATCAATTTTTTCAAATTTCCGGTGACGCTATTTGTATTTTCTCCACTCTTACTATCCTAAATATCAAGAGCATATCGAAAGGGTAGTCAAAGTAAAACCAGCAGAATTCCACAACTTTGATAACGAAGTCTCAGAAAAGATATTTCTTGTCAAAAACGTACTGTTCTTATTCCTGAATAAATGCGAACATTTTGTTTTATCGAAACTATGTACTACTTGGATGATAATCAAAACCTATTTTCAACTTTTTTCCCAGTCCTACAATATTCATTGAGCCTATTTGCAGGGTAAGGGGTTTAGGAATCTATAAAAGGCATGTTGTTGGAGACAGAACGCGGTAATGAAGGCAAGAGAAAACACAAAGTTAAGGAAGGTAGGTTAGGGTCAGTTAGGTTCTGTAATCTGCACGAAGTATGGCTACTTCATGGTTGCCCATAATATGATACTTGACTTCTTGAGATAGCTGAAAGAGAAAGGGGATTAATCTTACTTGACTGTATAGTTCAACGGATACACAGCCTAGTCACATACGGTCTTACTAGGAGTTTTGTACTGAGATTTAAGCTAAGTGACTTGAAAACATTTTGGGCTTTATCGAATGGTGATAATAGTAAAGTTTATGTCTTTATTAATCATTGATGAGGGTTTGAATGCTGAAGAAGCAGAAAATTTTCGATAATTCTTGTTCATGGCTGCCAGCAAGAGATGAAAGGTACTTATGACGTTTAGTACTAGGAGCATTACAGTAGAGTATTAAGTTGCTTAGCTTAATAGGTTAGTTCAAACGTCTGTGGCTTAAATGTCATACAGGACAGAGATTTCTTCCTGTTTTAACAAATCCAAAGCGCTCATTGACATCACTGACAGCTTATGAAGTAATTGTTAAGTCGTTTGATTGTTAATTTTGTTTTCTGTGTTTACCAAACAGGTATGAGAGTTTTAATTGAAATATAGCATTAAAAACTGGTAGTGAAACAGAAAATAAACTGTATAATGTTGGAAATGATGGATTTAAAACTAGTATTAATTCTGAGAGTTTAATGCCACTCTGTTATGTGATGTTTTACGTACCAGTAAGTACGTGATTTTTCTCCATATCGACATAATAGTTCAATGTCTTTCTTTAACAGTCTGCTCACGTCCTATGTTGACCGATTCATTGATCGATAAGACACCATAACCATATTTAGCACTGAAACACCTATGTTTAAATTTACTTAAAATATAATTACCAGACCGATAATTGCTACTCTGGCGTTGTTATCCGGCTTGTATATAGTATAGTACAAATAGCACATAGTAATGACTGAAAGACATACTGGCCGAACAAATTGTTCCCTAAAGTAGAAATGTTTGCAAGGTAGTGGTTTCACTCAAAGCGATTACATTCGTAGGATAAACAACTAACTCTGCTGTTCGCTTCAATTTCACGGAGGAGGAAGATGGGGTAGCGGTGGTCTGAGAGTGAAGTTACAATGTTAACTGAATAAGAATGTGATGTCAGCAGGATGTTTTCTGAAGGTAATCAGCATTCCCAGCCGATGCTACCTTTCTTTTATTAAAAGAAAAGAATCCAAAAGTAGGATGAAAAACAGCATAATAATCCCTGACATGCAAATTTCTGGTACTTACAGTAAGGATCTTCCCTCAAGTATGGACGCAGTACAGTTAAACTTCGAACGAAAATCAACCTCGACGCACAATATTACCTGAGTTATGTTTCGGCTGGAAAAGGGTTAAAGCTGGAAGAGCCTGAAGTTTGCCTCCCTTCATATAGTATCTGACTGTTGGTCTGAGGTGTATAAGGAAATGTAAACCTTCCGATCAGCGTTTGCATGACAACGGAGATCGATGTTCGGAGGCATGAGTTGATGTGTCTCAAAATAAATCTTCGGTGCAGAAGAACTGTTATACCATATTACGTAAATTGTTTGACCCTGTTTTGTTGTCTTCTTATGAAGAATAATAACATTATCTCCGTTTCTTTTGCCCTGTCAAATTAATCTTAATGTCCTGATGTGACGTTTGGGATTGTTTGCCATCAGACCGTAATACCCAGTCTTATTTTGAAAACGAGTGACTGAAGCACTATTGAAATGCAGAGAAATTTGGAATCTAAAGCACTTTATGCGGCTGACGGCTTTTAGAGACAATCAAACGAAATATCTAGGGAAAACATGATCACTGTTAAAACACTTCTAAAAGGTTTGCTTGCGAATTATTATAGCTGTTTAATAACTAAACTGAAAACAAGATGATAGGATCAGCGTAGAACTATGTGCATATATATTTGGGATACACAAGTTTTTACGCTTCATGAAAGCACATGAAGAGAAATTGTATGCAAGCAAGATGACAATAAGATAGGTTGAGAGCTTTTACGATGATGATTAGTAGTACATACATCATGTTATGATATGGTCGACTTTGGTCAATATTTCCAGAGGTCTCCAACCATCGATTTCTAATGTTTCAAGAATTCCTTATCGACCAGTCTACATCTCTCTACACGACTGAGATCCAAGTTCACAGAATTTATACACTTGTGTTCCATTTTGGTCTTGTCGTCCTTAGCTTTCACTCCAGCCTAATTCTATATATGTTAACACTGTGCAGCGACGAAGTTGCTGGTTCAGCAATTATACGTCTAAGCCACATTAATCGTTAGAAGCTCTCAGCCTCATTGATGAATTTTCCTTTTTAATATAGTACTGCACACCTAGCCGCTATGTTGCTCTCTGTGTAGTCCCACTGTATGCTAGCAAAGCTATGGGCACACCTATGATCAAATATATATAACCTCCTTATGATTTGCTGAGCTTTATACTCATCCTTTGATTAGTGATTCAAGGTATCCAACGGTGCCATAGACAACGTAAATTGGTAAGTGAAAACTAAGTCTCTCATACCAGTACTAAGATCTCTTCATCAACCATTCCATTACGGCTGAAATAGTTACGAATAAGCAAACCGAACACTTGATTTTTGAATCACTTCAATACAGTTGGTGAAAACTTCTAATCAACGTGAGTAGACCCCTATTATTCATTTTGTTCAGTATTATATGTTATTTGTTGCATATCAGCTACTTTTAGACCAATGATGTAGGTAGAATAAAGGTTGCAAGGGGATGAAATAATTAGTTCGAGTCGAAGCGATGAGAACATCAACCGCATAATTTAAATAACTATTTAAAAAGAATCGCTCAGTACAGATTCGCCTCTTAATTGATTGCAATATAAATTATCGACTGAGTTGTGAAAAATATTTTTTTATATGTGAACTGGGCTTCACAATAACAGTACCTTAAAGCATACACCTTTTTTCGTTATCATTTTTAATACTAGAGTTTTCCTATTAATTTGTTATCCACCATTCCCTTCCACCCAATAACACTAATAATAATTATAATTGTAAAAATAAATTTAAATCCATTATCCATTGGACGTCAACTGGAAGCAACTAAATGAGTACTTGTTTGTCACACTCATTGTTTCAGTAAATATGTTTCCTAAGGAATTTTCCTTCACTGCTTTTGCTTTTCAAGTCTGCTAAGGGAAACATGTATATGGAGAACCCACTTTGTCTAGGGACTATGCGATGTGCCAATGATAATAGGTGAGTGAGTGATACAACAAACAGAAATAAAACTTGAAATTCAACTAACAGAGCTAGGTGATTGAGAAGTGTGTCCTTCACCTATCGGTAAGTTAAACTACATGGAATGATCATGGTTATATATATATATATATATATATATATATATATGTCTGGAGGTTTCTGGGGACTGGTTGATTTCAAGGTGGTACCCATTTAGGACTAACATTAGTTAAAGAACCACTGAAAACCTGGAAGCACTGGACGGCTGTTTCGTCCTCGTATAGGACTTCTCAGCAGCGCGCACTCACGACCCAGCCAGGGACTGAACAAAGGATATATATATCATTTGTTCAGTAATTGATTTTGAAGCAAGATTCAGATCTTTATTGTGATTCCTACCACGATTCAAGTTTTCTTTCAGCTCCGGTTTTTTGCTAACAATTTTGCAAATTTAACTGTTAATTTTATTTTATGAAGGATAATTCAATTGTTTCTCTAGCTTTGCTAATAGTGTTTGACTTATGCAACCACCCAGGTTTACCCTTCGAATAAATGTAAAATTTACCATATCATTATAAAGTTCTTACACTTATCACTCATGTATTACTTTTCATCGAATAATGAGGTAATTTGAAAACTGAAATATAGCTTCATAGAAACCACTACCACAGATTTTTAGGTTGACATAAAATATGGCTCTTTTGCTACATAATAAAAAGGTTTAATGAGAATGCTGAAAATTCCAACACACTTTTTACACCCTAGTTTCTACTTCAGTAATTTATTGACTGTACGATACAAGGGAATCTATTTATCACTGGTCATTTTCCAATGATTGTTCGCACATAAATATATACATGAAACAAAACTATCTAATTCATTTTGGTGAGAAATAATGATATCTCTAAAACAACTTGATACACAGTTACTAAATCTGAATTTTTCAAGTTTATTGTTCTCAGACTTTTGCAAGCTTTAAGAATCATGTATTCTTGCCGGTTGATCGCCAAGGTCATATTAAATAAGCTTAGAAATGAAATATTCGTTTTCATTTATACCAACATTGATTGAATAAATAATAAAGTAACTGGAAAATTATTCATCTTGGCTACGCTGTGATATGTTGGTCATTAGTGCAGACATCTTGGCTTGAGAATTTTCTACCTTTGTGAGTTGTTCAATTCTTCGTTGATCTATGTTGTAACTTTTCGTAGGGACTTGACAGAAATCTATATATATCCACACATATTTTTTGATGGCAAAAATTAATGTCTTAAATTATATTTAAAATCATTTTATAAATCTAAAAATGAAAACAGTGCGAACTGAGCATGAAAAACTGAATCAGCAGTAGGCTGGCACCTAAAGTGGTACAATTTGTCTGGTCGAAATAATGAAATACATCAAGTCATAAGAAGGTACTGTTGGTCACATGAGTGGTAAGAGAAAATACCACTATAAAAGAATATTTACACAAACTAGTGAAGTTTATCAAAAGGAAGATTAGCTATTAGTGAGAAAGGTATAAATTCATTCTTTTAGTAGTTAGGTGCTTTTTTCTGTCAATACTAAGTATAAGGTAGTTGATGCATATATAATACTTAAACTTAAAGGAAAAAAACCATAGTTTTTGCTCAGCATCTACTGACTGACTGACCTAGATAACTGAGAAACACTCAAACCAATCAAACGAGCTTTATAGCGAGATCAAAGTAATATGAACTCCTACTGGCAGTTTCACTTGGTTGTAGACGAACCCATTATGACATAGGAGCATAGATTCATCCAAAAAAATTGGACTGTCTTAACTGACCCACTTCTCACAAACTATTTAGGAAGACTAGTAATGTGTAGAATGAAATCAGGTATTCGAAAGAATCAATGTCAGTTGTAAGTAAAACGAATATCATTCCATCTACGCGACTGGGTTAATCAATGATTATTTGAACATGATAAGACTGGATACACTGCGATAAGTTCATCCTCAAGAAATCTAAATGAAGTTCAGGTATTCAAACTACTATGGTCATTTAGGTGAGAACTGTTAATCTGCCTGAGTACTCTGATTACTGATATAAGTTAAATGTGTGTACACATAGTACCTTTTTACGGTAATATTTGAAGTGTTATACATTTTGTCAAGCAAATCACATATTATGGTTTCAAAATGTTTTATTCTGAGGGTAAAGCATGGTGAAGTTATGAACTGAACCTCATTTATTTGTGTGTTCCTGACTCTGAACTGCAGACTTCTCAAAACCTATATGGGTAGACGTTTTTGTTATATTCGTATCACGTTGCTTGGAGATTTAGATATGCCAATAAGATTGTGTTTATCCAACTCTGTTAATGAATTATCAATGAATACATTAAGACATGCATGAACTTAGCAAAGCCTAGTTAAAACTGACTTTCACTAAATGTCAGTAGAGTAGTTAACTGGATTACTACCTTGTGATGATTAGTGATAAGCTTGCAGATGGATTAAACGAAGTTCTCATGCGAGACTGTAACCTGTGGGATCAACCAGGTTAGGTGTGAGGATAAACGCTTAACGATGAAATTGAGTAGTAGTTGCATTACATTGTGAATTGGTCGCAGTGGGAAAATGTGAATCGTTGGGTATCAATCCACTGAGTGGATGACAATGCATTAACCGCAAGACCTGTCAACTTGTATTCGGTCTCTGATGTGGTGATGGTGTCCATTTCCAAGGAGTCAAGTGCGGGGGAGAAACAATTGTTCATCACCCCCCAGATTTCCAACGGTTATCAAAATGATGACAGTCTGTGATGAATACTACTTTGAAATCAAGCTACATGTCAAGCATTCAGTTTAAAGAACAAGATAAAAATTCACCAGTAAAGCTTAAACAGCATATAATATATATATATATATATATATATATATATATATATATATATATATATATGAAATCAGTGACATCACCCTGGCTGATATATTGTTGCAAACGATGGGCCTTGTGGCCACACTTACTTTGGATAGTAGGATTATATAATGTAAGATTTTTGTTAACAGCAACTGTAAGATTCATTCTCATCAGCTGAATATTTTCTGTTTACACTCATTTCTTCCTCCTTTGATGTTGCAAATGTTAGCAATTTGGACAGTCACAATTTCAAGTGAAGTTCTAAGGTGCTGCTTTTGTGTTTATTTCACATGAATCCAATTTTATACCTATAAAACACCAAATGTGCATAGCCTGCACTTCACTAATCTGTGTTCAGCACCCTGAATTACTGTAGAAGTTTTTTTGTGCATTGAACTAAAACGTGTTAGTCAAATGACAAATGCAGATGGTGGTATTTAGATGCAGGTTATGAATACGTTAAGAAATTGTTTTCTTGTACTTTCCTAAATATGTTATAAGTAAACCATACTTTGCAATTCACTGAGTCTTCCATGTGATGATATTCAATAGTAAACAGAATTAAACATAGTTCACATGACAAAAAGACTTCTCTTGTATGATTCTCTTCGGATTCAAAAAGATGTTTTGCTTCTATCTAGAACACAAGTGCACAAAATGTACTCATATTTAGACAATATGAAATTAATTCACACTAAAGCTTAACGTAATGTGCACTGGGAACGTTTTGAAAGGTTTTATCAATGTACACAAAGGATGGAAGTGTGTGTTTGACATCTGGTTGTGTTTGGTGACCCTTGCGCTATAACATCACACTCTTTTCAATCCTACTTCTTATTTAGCACATTTATAACAAGATTTTTCCCCATAAAACTGTTGAAAGCCGCATCAAGACTATAACACGTTCTTTCCACAATCAGGCATGAGGAAGGTTACATTGGTAATTTTTGAATTCAATCAACAATACTATCAGCTTATTCTGTCAACACAAATATTCTATTAGAGTTTCTGTCGCCAAAGTACTCAGCATCCTTGAGCTTTGCATATCACATAACTTATTCTTCAGCTGGCCGTATTTTGATGTAATGTCAACAACCTTATCAGCTTCAGTCACTACGTAACACTACTGTGTGAAGCTCATTGATATGTACTTTTGGTTTTCAACCAGTCGGTTACTGGTTCAATTCCAGCTCCATCTACCGAAGTTTGTGCAGACGGGTAGTATTTTAGGCTGTCACACAATAGGGGCCGATCACTGTCTAGTGCATGAATGTGCACGTAGTTACTGAACTACATTTCAGTATAGCACTTGAACAGTATTGAGCTATCCCTTGAATCAATGTGTAATAAGTGCTCTAGGATTAGTTTTCAAGTTTAGGAAGCTTTATTTTCCGTTAGCGGCAAAGTCATTTTTACAGCCTAGTCAAAGGTTTGTCTCACTATTATTGATCTAATCTAAGAATTCGGAACTAATTAAATGTTAAGTACACTCATCAGTCCTTGTTTATGCAATGGTGTTATCTAGTTATAAATTATGTAGAAGATACAGACTAGTATTTGGACCTACCATGGACATTGCTTCGTTTGCCTCCAATTGCAATATTTTCTTCATGGGAAATTTGATTCCACGAGATCCCATCTGACTTCGACATATAGACTGAATTAGATGTCTTACGCTTTTCGCTGTCACTTTCGTGATCCTGAACAGTTATCCTATCAAACACAGAGGTACAAGCAAAAGGTGAGTTGGGTGAATGTTTTTGTTTGATTTGTTGGTTATACTGCTGGAAAGTGGATTTTTTTAGTGACAGTAGTTGTAGTTTATTCATCTTTCCTGATGGATTTCCGGGTATATTGATGTCATTATTATTATTACTAATATCAAAATTATTTATAATACTAGGATTGTTGCTGCCACTCAGACAATTGTTATTTTTGATACGTATGGTTTCAAGAAAACGACTGAATACCGCTTTCACACCTCCCATAAGGGATGAATTTCTGCTTCCGCTGGCGTTGTTATTGTCACCAACAGTACCTACACTGGTACCACTGACCTTTGCAGAATCTGACTGAATGTTATTTTTTACAGGGCAAATGAAATCTTCTTGATTCGATTTACATATGCAATTTGATGTGAAAAATCCATGGGATGAGTTAGTGGAGGGAGAGGATATTTTTGGTGGTGATGAAGAGGATGGAGATTTTAATGCATCCAAAGTTCTGCATGTAAGTAGTTTATGATCACAGAAATACGTAAGCCATGGAGGTGATGCTGATGGAGTTGGTGAACATAATGTCGACATGGAGGAGATTGGTTCAGGGGAATGTGTATTGTGAAAATTAGGTCTGATATCATCGCATTCACATCTTGACTGAAACTGACTTCCGTAAATGTGCTGGTTGATTGAACGACAAGGTGATGTGGTAACAGACTTTGAAGTTCCTGATTCCTTCCTAGTTTCGCTACTGATCTTATTGCAATTATAGGAAAATTTTCCCCTTTTTTCATTTTTACAAGACCTTGAACGACGAATTGGTTTTTTGACTTTAGCATATACTGTTGATGATACTTCAGACATTATACTTGCATGAAATCATCTTTGAAGATTTATCTAAAACGATAACACGAAAAGGAGAATGTTATGTATCACAAAACCTTGAGATATTGTGTAATTGGTTATTATTTTTGGCTGACTACAAGTGATGCTTGGATCCTGCTGAGGTTACATATAGGCAGTGTTGTTAACTGCTAACAGACCCAAATTCGAGATTCAGGGCTTTTTCTACACCTATCTGAATAAACTGAGTGGTAGAATTAGTACACCCTTTTGCCACGTTTTTTGGGATTGCTAACTGCATTGCATTTTGCAGTTAAAAGACCTGCATGAATGCTAAGAATGTGAGTGTTCGTTTGCCGATCGTTTACTTTTCGAACTGGTCACTGGAACGTTATTCACAAAAGCCACAGATTTTACTTCATGCCATCAGGTCTATTGACGTTAACTTATAGAGTTATTAATCACGAATTAAATTGAATTCGGATTATGATAACCAACCTTTCGTTGTTTAGTGTCTGACAACACATTTGAACGTGCCATAATACTCAAACACGAGGTAAGTTGTGAGTACAGTTAGAATGGAAAGCATTCCGTCAGTGATTTTCTGTTCACCAACGTCCTTTCTGACTTATAATGTCGCAGACTGTGACTAGGTACGAAGTAATTTTGTATTTTTTAGGCAACGTGAGTTTCTGGGATGTTAAAGGTGTGTCTTAATAATGATTGTCATAAAATACCAAAACTGATTTCATGGTTTCAAACTATCTGTGACTTCCTGTAGTTCAGAAAAATAAATCACATAAAACATGTAGAACGTCATGGATCACAAACAATCTGATCATTTATGAACTTATCAAATTATTTATCTGAAAGTTTATGAAATGTCAAATAAGTGAATGATATAAGAACAATGGATTATCAATGATTTAACTAGGTCGTGTGTTAGTTAGACTGTCTCAGAAGTGTAGTGTTAATAAATGTATCACATGCTTCGCATAATCTTCAGCTTCTCATTACACTGTGTACATATATACGAAGTATTTTAGACTTGGTTTTCAGGCTGAATGGAAATGAACTACAGATTATTTTCTAAAATAAACCCGAAATACCTACCATTTAATAAAACAGAAACGCAAAATTTATCAGTTGTAAACAATTTACAAGTTACTTAGTCCATATTGACATTCTTGGCAGCTGCAAAGTTTTTAACTGTTAGATTGCACTGTTAATGAGATCTTCCTTAGGAACCGTCTAGGTAGGATAACAGACTACCATCTCTGATGTACAAGTGTCATAAACTAAAGTCTTGCACTATTAAATAAGATATGTATTTAGCAACCAGTCAGGTTGGTTTCAACACTTGAGGGCCTCTTCCCTGACTTGGTGTTGAGCTTATTAACCATGTACACGGGCAAACTTAAGAGGTTTCAACTTCTGATGAGAAGGAAAACTCAGCAACTATTCTTTTCCAGTGTGTTCACTATTTTTTGTATTCGTAACGAAAACCTGTTAAGGAAGAGTATATACTTTGAGATATGGTGATCTTTTTCATTTTGAACAGATAACTCTTGAGAAGTAAATTTCCATCAACAAATGGGTCAGGAGTAACATAGGACGAGCCATTACGTACGTAGTTTGAAAAACGCCAACAGAGTTATCAACAGCAAACATAATTTTCCCAAACCCTTTTGGCTTACCTACTTTTCCTGGTTCAAAACAAATAGCCTCAAAACTACTAACTGTGCTTCCATCACTTTAGAGGAATGTTCAGACGACAGCTACTAACGAAAGTGTCAAGCCTCCCCTACCCTTCACTTTCATCGTTCATGTCTTACAGCTACAAAGTAGTATGGTCGCTAAGAATCAACACCAACTAGTCTTAAAGCCTAACTTTACATTTGACAGGTACAAAACGCAAGCCTACTAGACACAGACGTTTACTCCAGATATTCAGAAGACTCTAAAATACCCCCGACAAAAGAAAACCAATCGTTAATAAAATGCAGGCAATTAAAGTTACATCCACCATAATCTCTACAACGAAGTCGAACAGAAACGGGAAGAGTGAGCATCTCCGACAAACGTCACCACTCCTACTCAGTACAAATGACAACTCTCTCCAACCCCTAGTATAACTCCATCATTTTAAGTAGAAATCCTTGAATCACATGAAATGCTTACATAGAACTCCTTTGATTGATACAACACCTCTCCACCGACGGAGTAGAATTAATCATTCACCCCAAGATGTGTCGCAAATGTTGGCTGATGGTAAAAATCTCTGTGTTCTGAAACCCGTCTGAGGACGGAGATCTAATCAATAAACCCTTGTTCAGGTTTAAAACCTGCCTGATTTCCTCCAGTTTTTTGTTCTCCATCTCCAGTTAACAGTCGAATGGCTTGGGGCCCTGGAATTTCAGACGAAATGTTAATCAAACTAATTATCATGTGATTGTCACAGCACAACCCACCTTTTTTCTTATCTACGGCAAAAACTAACAAATTAGACCACTTAGGGATCCATATCAACTGCTTCTCACTATCAAACGCTTACTTTAGTGACCTTCACATGTTGTCACAGTTTAGCGAACCAGTCAGTAAGCATCCGGAGACCCCGACTTCAAGAGGACAGTGCATTGCATTAGAGATAGTAACCTTAAGAAGTGCTTCTTTCATTTTTTGTAGTAGTATCGAAGATAATATGGATGAAATGAAAATTTTGAAATGATAAAATTTATTACTGATTCACTTACTTCAAATGTACAGTTATCCGAAGTTGTCTTATTAAGGAACTGTCCAAGAAGGAACTAAAAGAATATTCTCAATACAGGATAATGGATATATTTACTTTTCAAAGTGTAAAAATGCAATGTAATATGTATTTCCCTTTGAAAATTCGCTACCGTCTTTTGAACAGTACAAGTACTTAAGAAAACAATCTCACTAACAATGTCCCTCTTCAGTCAAAGGATTTAGCAATTTACGGAAAAAAACTACACGAAATGGTCATGATTTTCTAATCTACTGAGAGTAGGAAGTTAATTGATTACTTATAAACTCAATATTGATGGAAATTTTATTCTCTTTAAATATAATGACTTACTTATAAATTCAATCAATAATGTGTATATCTGTAAGAAGTATGCACACCGTCTAACCGGAGGAAAACAAATACATGTCCATATCTAATCAATAATTTCAGTATGTATGTGAGAATGCAAACTTCTCGATTCACAGACTAAAAAGCATTCATTAATGCAATTAAAGAAATATCAGAGTACGAGAAGAAGAGAGATGAAATCAGTTGTGCCAGGGTGTTTATGCCCAAAACTAAGAGTTTTATTGGTGTAAAAATATCCGCTGGTAGAAGTATTTGTGTAGATTAAGAACGTGATTATTCACCTTTGTAGTAATTTGAATTAGCATAATCTTAAGCGTTAGGCGACTAATATTCTTGAACGTAAACTGAGTTAACCAATCACATTGATGTTGCGTAATAACCTCTTAAATGTGTCAGTGTGCGCATTTATGATCACATTTTGTAAATGAATAAGTTACAGAAAAATTGAAGAAACAAAATAATAGTATCTTGATTCAACATGTTTAAAAATGTTCTTACAGGTATGCTAGACTGAAATCGAGGGTTCCTTCTTAATGCCATTACATAATAGCCTAAGGGATTGGATAAATATGGATTCAGACATAAGAAATATTGAAAACTGGGAAGTTCACAGTAGACGTTTTACATTTAAACTTTTGATAATTCAGGTAACTTGATAAATTTTACTTACTCATATTAAATACCATTTATTTTAAGAAACTTAACTTATTGATGCTGTGAACATATAGGCCTGCCCTTATTTTTCTGTCCCTGAACAGCCAATAAGGATTCAAATCCAATCACCAAACTAATGCTTTTTTTAGCAACTATGATTGGTGGCAATTTTTTTTATGGAATAATTAGTTGGTTTTGGATTCTCGATGGTAAACGTTTATGCAAGAAAGTTTATTGCTGACGTACATGTGATTAACTGTCACCTTTGGATTACAGGCAGTCAATGAGACGGAAAGGTAAGATACATCCAGTATGTCTGCCGAATAAAGAACCACCGTCAACAGCCGGGGTAGTTATGATCAATTCACATAAAATTTTGTACCTTGTAGTATAGGAATCCAGTGGAATATCGATCATTTATTCTCACCAAAATTGTTGAAGATTTATATGCAGTGACCCGACAGCTCACAAACCACAAGCATGAGCTTATATGATCGTTTCATAAAACTTCACGTACATATGAATCCTATCAAATGCTTGAAAACATCAGGCCTCCTGCAACTGATAGAAAGTCATGAAATGAAATGAATCCTTTTTATCTTGTGTTGTTCAATATTTTCAGCAGGATAAAATGTATGATATATTACGGCAGATTAAATATTTTCAATTTCCAGTTCATCGACTTATTCACTAAGAAGACTTATCTTACCTCTTTCCTTTGGTTAACTACTCTTAGACGCTAATTTTAACCATATTAAACTGATGTTCACATAGTGTTCTATTCTCGATCTGAAGCATTCAATATAAAATTATTTATCTACTTATTCATTCTATTAATTCCCACTCATCTTTGTAGAAACTGACTGTATTAAGTTATTCACATGTAACAGGACTAAAATATTCAGCGAAACTTTGAGTACGATTCATTTTCATTGCAGCTTACTTTCAACAAAATTAATTTAGTCTTGAAAAATCCGCAATATTTTCAACCAATGGAGTTCCTGACATTTCACTGGCCTAATACTCCACAGAAAATGTCAAGATTGCTAACAACACAAGTATACATTATAGCTTAACCAATCACGATATTATATTACAAAATTAACCTTCTATACTTCAAAGCTGTCAAAGAAGCATCACCTCTATAATAAAGCTTTCGAAAGCGGCCAACAAAACGTTTATTTTACATGAAATACCAGCAAAGGGTATTTTTAAAACTGAATGGGCTCATACATCTGAGATTTCAAATCACAGTTTGGTAAATAAGAAGTTATGGAAT